TGACACTGCTGGTGGGACTGCAAACTAGTCCACCCTCTGTGGAAAGCGATATGGAGATGCCTCAGAGCGATGCAAGTGGATCTACCATTTGATCCAGCAATCCCATTACTGGGCATCTACCCAAAAGATCAAAAGTCACTTTATGAAAAAGACACCTGCACTCGAATGTTTATAGCAGCATAATTCACAATTGCAAAGCTGTGGAAACAACCCAAGTGCCCATCAATTCATGAGTGGATTAATAAAATGTGGTATATGTATACCATGGAGTACTACTCAGCCTTAAGAAACAATGGTGATATAGCACCTCTTGTATATTCCTGGATAGAGCTGGAACACATTCTACTAAGTGAAGTATCTCAAGAATGGAAAAACCAGCACCACATGTACTCACCAGCAAATTGGTATTAACGGATCAACACCTAAGTGGACATATAGAAGTAACATTTATCGGGTGTCGGGAGGGTGGGAGGGTAGAGGAGGGGATGGGTATATACAACTACAATGAGTAAGATGTGCAACATTTAGGGGATGGACACAATTGAAGCTCTTACTCGAGGAGGGAGGGGGGCATGGGCAATATATGTAACCTTAACACTTGTATCCCCATAATACGCTAAAATTAAAAATAAAGAGCGTATGTGACTTCAATTTTGCAGGTAGAGAGGGCACAAGTGTCAATAAATTGTCTAACCCATGGCTTTCTGCTCACCTCAAATTAAGAACAGTGGTGTAGTCAAAAGAATACAAAACTTAAAGTGAGAAAACCCAAGTTCCTTTCTCTCTAGCATTTGCCTAGGGGGAAGTCACAGAAGCTTTCAGAATCCTCATTCCACTATAATAATACAACATTTGTGTAATGCAACATTTGTATCCTGGGGGTAGGACAGTTTAAAGGTATTGAATAGGAAGGAAAACCAGTGAGCTGGTGGATGCTCCAGCAGCACATGTGATCACGCTTGGCAAACTGTGAAGTGGTACACAAACAGAAGGTAGTGCATGTCTACTTTCTCCTGCTCAAGGGCCTTCCCTTTCCCTCTGGAATCAGGAAGTGGCATAGATGAGCGAAAATGGAAAGACACAGAAAAACAACCGCGTAACCAACCAAAAGCATTTTAAAACCTCAGAGAGGATTCTTGTCAAGCTTGTGGTGTGGTTTCAGGGTCTGCTACCCAGCGACCACCACAAAGGGTGACCTGGAAGCTGAGGTGCTGGGCTCGGAGCATAACTGAGTGTGTCTGTGCCCAGCAGGTAGACTCAAGAGGGATTTCTTAAACTCCAAAAGCTCTGCATTAGAGAGACATTCTTTCAACCTCACTCTCATCAACGGTGAGATTGGGTAGTTAGCACGCAGTCTTTGGATGAAAAGGCCACTGAGTGTGTGGGGCTGGCTGTCCCTATCTGTCTGTCAGTATCTATCTGTCTGTTAATGTTTATTCTATGTTTTCTCTTTGTTGCAAGATATTTTTGTGTTGCATTCACTGTGCTAATTTTATTGGCAATCCCTCTACTGTGAAACCATTCCTCAGATTTGAGGATCATTTGCTTTTCTAAAAGGACTTGTCTCCTTCTTACTGTCTGGCAATAGTTTTTCTTCCTTGTAAGAGAATGCCCAGATCAATTTTACATTGTCCATGTTATACATGAATGCGATCTCCTTGTTGAAACAAATAATAACATGTTAGATAAAGCTAGCAATTCTTTTGACTTCCAGCACTTTGAACTTTCCCCTGGGGCCTGGCTGGAGCACGTCTCAGGTCTGAGCAGGGCCCCAGAGCTGCTTCGGGCGAGCTGTGCAGGAAGGGGACAGCCGCTCGCAGCCTGCGCTTGGTGTGGCGCCCAGAGCAGTGTCACACTTGCTGTGGCAGAGGCGACTGGGGTAGACTGAGTGAGCAAGCTTCCTGATACCAAATGTTCTGCTCCAGCCACAACTTGTCTTTCATGTCTAGAAGCAAAATTCACTGTTTCATATAAAGTAAAATTAGTCTGGACGTTATACACACACACACACACACACACGAATGACTTGGCTGTGGAAAGAGCAACTTTTTAAAATATATTTAAATAAAGAGTACATTTTTAGTTTTCTAATTACACTGTCAATTCTAAAAGTTTCTATGTCTCTGTACAGCAAAAGTAGTTTTTTTAAGAAATACATGTTGAACTGAATTTTCTGAAAAGTCTGCTGAAAGAATCATATGTATATAAAATGTATTTTTCATGCATTCAATTGATAAAATAGAGATACATTTTATACCAAAAGCCTCAAATATCGACAGTTTCTATGGAAGCAGAACCAGGAGTACCAATTCACATTTCTACAAGTGTCAATTGCAACTAGCATACATGAAATTTAGTCTCTACTTTTCAGAAAAGTATAATTCTCTATATATTAAAACATGGACATGTATGATTAATTTATAATTTTATTTTTCACCTTTTTTTCTTGCAGTATGAACAGAATAAAATATTTTTTGTAAAGAGTTATTGAACATTGAGTCCTTATTAAACAATAGACACTTTTTTATGTGTTTCATGTAATTTAATTTAATCTTCATAGTAATTCCATGAGATAGATAATATCTCTATTTCTCAGTTGCAGAACAGAGGAACCCTAGGCAGGGAGAGGAGAGATGAGTTGCCAGCAAAGATTTACTAGCCAGCAAAGATCGACCCTAGAGCAGACCCAGGGCTTCTGCCTGGACAATTCTCTCTGTCCAGAACTGTGAATCTGCTTGACGACTTTTGCCCCTGTTTGGATTGAATAGGCAGGCACATCTATGCAGATTCACACTGATTTCTACTTTTGAGGCTCTGATAGTTGTATAAAAGAGTTTATACTTTCTTGTGCTTTTAGTTGCTGCTATGGACATATTTAGGAAACTTGGCTGCCTTTCCCTGTCGCTATGAGAGGAAATGCCCAAGACTCAGCATCCCACAACTTGATCAAACACTTTTGTCTGTTTGCTTTGTGTAGCCCAACATTCCTGTGTCTCCTTTGAACATCTCACCTGGAGTTTTCTTCCTTAAGCCACGGCCTGAAATCCTGGCAGAGCCTCTTCCCAAATCACGGCACAGAGACACTGCCACCAGGAAAATCTTTAAGATTGAAAGTGATTTTGTATTCAAAGACCCTTAGAGCAAGAAGGCACGTTGTGAGGAGATGCAAAATGGGTTAGAGGTTTTGGGGCCCTTGGGACAGAGAAACACACACCATTAGACCTACTTCTATTAAGTAGTCTCAGGTGGGTGGCATCTATTTTGGGACCCAACAGAAGATGGCAAAACTGAGCCCTCCTATTTCTTGTTGAAGCCACCATACTCTTCAGGTCTGAGACCTAGTGGGGTGAAGCCACCAGGTATTTGTTTGGACTCTGTCTGCTCCTGTCTCAGAGAATGACCCAGAACTTTCTTCCAGGACTCAGGTCTCTTTGGTGGTTAATGGAAAGGAAGAGGAGTTCCCAGGGGGCTTTGATGTCACTTGCTGTTGGAGTTGAGGGCTTTGAGTTGGGCTCTTGGTTACCTTAGGATGTGTTCCATGTCTAGCCCTCATCCAGCCAAGGATGAAGGATTTCATATTGCAAGCCGTGACCTATGGGTCTGGGTATTTCTTAAGTTATGAAGGAATCATTATTACTTCAAAAATGGGAAATCAAAAGGGGAGAAAAAAGACACTATAGAAAGAGAGTGTGTGGCTGGTCTTTCCCTCAAAGGAAGAGAGAAAGAAGGGAGAGTTGTGCTGCTTTGACCACTGCGAATCATAAAATCGCCCCAATTAAGCCAACAGGGCAAATGGACACTCTGTAAACACACTGCCAAGACTCAGGAAAAATCAGCCTGTGGACAAGAAGGAATTCTTGTTAAAATTAAAAACATGTTTTACTCTCCTGTGCCCACTTTTAGAGTAGGCCCCTGCTATGAGATGCCGTGCTCTGCTTTCACACGGAGAACAGCTTCCCTGGGGTCTATCACCCCTGCCTCCTGACAGAAAGCTAGAGAAAGGCACACAGAACTTTGTAAGGCCCAGCACCAGATTCCGATAATATAACACCCAGGTAACACCAAGGAAAGTGGGGTTTATTCTCAACAGAAATAAAGAATAATGTTCATCTATAGGAAATAAAACAAAAGTAGAATTACTGCATCAAATAAGTCCACCGTGGAAAATAAGCGCTGGACTCTCAGCAGTAGGTAACAGAGAGACTGCACTTTATCCTTCAGCTTCTAAGATGTTTTCTTTTCTATCAAAGAATTTCCAGGGACAAACTTCCAGAGTTTACTTGGAAAGTCTGTTTTCATATTTATCAGCCTTATTATCCAGGAATATTCCTGATGAATAACTTAATTTTTCTGTGCCTCAGTGCTGGCTCATTTTCCAGCCAGGGACAGGGTATCCAGGCTGACACGCCAGGAAGACTTCTTAAGAATAAACTGGTTCTAATCTCAGAAGCAACAGACTCTGTAGTCGCCTCTCTTCCATGTTAGGGGTCACATAGGGGTCACATACTAAGTAAGAGGTTCTGATAAAAATTTGTGGGGAGATAGGAAAATTGGAAAGATGACTAGCTCTGGCAGCCCAGGACTCAGAGCAACAGTTCACGTGTTTGATGATCACCCTACCCACTGCTGTTACTTGGCAATAAGCGGGGATTGACTGGCTGTGTGGTGGTTTATTGTCTCCAGCAATGGTCTATTTTTGAGAAATTTAAAGAAAGGCAAGTCCAAGTTGGAAAAAAAAAAAAAGGAAACAGCTGAGGTAAGCAGTCTAAGGAAAAGATGGGATGCTCAGTAGCTGAAAATTATCTTCTCACTATCTCAGCTTGACTTTTGGTACAACTTTGAATGCCCTTCTGTGCATACTCCATGCTTTTCCCATTTGTAAAGAAGGAAGCTCTTACTTTATAAATGGTGAGCTTTCTGACAATAATAAAAATGGTATGGTGCATGCCCTGATAGCCCAATGAAAATAATGACTTATACACAAATGTGCTTATGCTTAGGTGTGTTTCAATAGACCAGGAGTGGCCTCAGCAATTCTTATTTTCTTGACGACCGATGGCTTGGTCCCTGGGAAGCATCAGAAGCCAACAGTGACCCTCCACATGACCGATGTCAGTGGAAAGAACCACTCTCTTGGTGAGTCTGACAGTTGTCCCTTTGGGGCCACAGGAGGACAACCCAATAGATGCAGGAGTCAGCTTGATGTCTGTCTCTGATATTGTTGGGGTCCTTGCCTGCATCACACACCTATTGAGAGGATAAGATGGATATTGGATATGGAAATATGGTACTAGATGAATGGCTTAAAATAGTCATCTCCCTGTGTCTCTTCAGGAACCTATGAACTGTCATGCCAGCAAAACCCACTGATTATCAATGTGACCCATCACCCGAATATCCTCTTCCATCCTACCACCTCAGTGCTGCTGAAATTCTCTTCCCCACTGGTGGGCATCTCGGCGGTGGCTCTAAGGACACCCTCCCACATCAGCCCTTCAGCTCCTGACAGCTGCATCCCAGAGCACACGAGGGAAAATCATCAGGAACACAGGTACAAAGACCCCTGTCTTCCTTTCCCTCTCTTTTTCTTGTGGCCATGACAGACTGCTGTGGTTCAGTCATACAGTGTTGTGTACACAGTGCTTGCTCAATCAATAACTGAAAAATGGATTTAGGAACTACTAAAAAGACATAGGAAGCAAGCAAAGAATAATTTTTAGAAGACACACTTATCTTCTTTTCTTAGCTGATCATAATTTTTATGTAAATGTTGAACATCATTTTAACATCTTTTTTACATATACCACCACTGACTTTGTCAACATTGTTAAGTAAACTGCCAAAAACTCTCTGCCAAACATTGAATGTTCCCTAAATAATGTATATTTTTCCACATGCTCCCACCTGGACAGTATATACAGCAAGTTTAATAATTATTTATAAGACATGTCATATTATCATTTAGGATTACATATGGAAATAGGAAATGCATTAGCTACATGTGTCTTTCTGTGAATATCTGTGATTGTCACCATCTAGTCAGATGTGGCTATGAGATTGGCTGGAGTCTCAGCAATAGCTGGTAGAAGAACTGGACTTCACAGTGTGGATTGCCCAAGCTTGGGGAAGGAGGTACTCCAAACACAGCAAGCTGCACTATAATTGGGCTAGAATCATTCTATGGATGGTCTAATCAATTGAGTAGGACTAAAGGTGACAGGGTTCATTCCCTCAGGGAGAGGGGTAAGATCACCTACTTGTTAACTAGGTGATCAGGATCCTGTCACAAAAGCTGGGGTTCCAAGCAGTGCCCCATTGCCAAGCAGGAATTCCAGTATCAACAGGCCCATCCACGATATACCAGGAACCCAGCGCAGACAGGGATAGGGAGATAGGAGATGGCACTAGTATAGTAACTCACTTATCTACTGTTGTGTAGCAAATTATTCCAAAATGTAGTGGCTTAACACAAAAAACATTATCTCATAGTTTCTGTGGGTGAGAAATCTAGATGCAGCTCAGCTGGGCACTTCTGGCTTGGGGTCTCTTATGAGGTTTTGTCAAGATACTGGCTAACGTTGCAGTCATCTCAAAGCTCCAGCTGAGCTGGAGAATTCACGTCCAAGCTCACTCTTGTGGCTGCTGTCAGGCCTCTGGAGAAACACTTCCAAGCCCACTCATAGGTGTTGGCAGTGAGCATGCTCACACAGATGTGGACAGTCCCTTGCCACGCCGGCCTCTCCACAAGCGATCTGAGTGTCCTTATGGCGTGGCAGCTGAGGATCCGAGAGAGAAAGAGAGCCAGGGAGGGTGAATACATGAGACACTGCCCAAGAGGGAGCCATAATCTTTTTATAACATAATATTAGAAGTGACAGCCCATTACTTCTGGCATACTCTAGTCGTTAGAAGTGAGTCAATAAGTCCAGCCAGTACTCAAGGAGAGGGGTTTGCATAAGGGCATGAATCACTGGGGCCATCTTAGCAGCTACCTACCACATGCAATAATAGTAGTAGCAATAATAGTTTATGTTAATTGAGCACTAACTATGTGCCAGGTATTATTCTAAGTGTTAGGAAGGGAGAAACAGTAGGGATAGAGCCTGGATGGTGGACATTTTAACATTAGCTAGTTCAACTACAACTCTAAAGTCTTCTTAGTGGGCAGACACCTTCAAATGTTAGCATAAGAATGTAGACTATTAAAATAGCACATCTTGTATTTTCCTGGATAGAGCTGGAACCCATACTACTAAGTGAAGTATCCCAAGAATGGAAAAACAAGCATCACATATACTCACCAGCAAATTGGTTTTAACGGATCAGCACCTAAGTAGACACATAGGAATTACATTTACTGGGTATTGGGCAGGTGGGGGGAGGGGGTGGGTATATACTTACATAATGAGTGAGATGTGCAACGTCTGGGGGATGGTCACACTTGAAGCTCAGACTTGTGGGGAGAGGGGGGAAGGGCATTATACGCAACCTTAAAATTTGTACTCCCATAATATGCTGAAATAAAAATAAATAATAACATTTATTAGAATTATGGCCTCTCTCCCATATATTTTCAAATTATTTTATCTGCTGGCTCTATCTCTGGCCTTCAGCCATACAGAATTTCTTTCAGGTCCCTGAAACATGTGTTCCCAATGAGCTTTGCACATAGCATTCCTACTTGCTTGAATGCCTTCCAGTCCTCCTTCACTTCAACGCGTACTCCCCCATCAGGACGCACCTTCTCTGGAGTTTTGGCAACTTGCTCCCTGTTTCCACAGGACATAGTACAGAACCCAAACTCTGAAAAAGTAGCTATCACCTTGGGTGGTAACTATTCATTTACTTGTTGCTCTTTCCCATTAAACCCCAAGCTCCCTATAGGGGGATTCGGCTCAGTATCTCTCAGCAGCTAGCAGGGGCCTAGCACAGCGCAGGTCTGAGAAACTGGGTTGAATGACAGCTGTCAACTTTATGTCTGAATGCTCCATGGAACAGAACGGAGCGAGCAAACCAGCAAAGTAGAAGTCATGGCCTCTCCAGACATAAGGGGCGAGTGTGCCCCTCACAGTCATAGCTGCGAAATTCAACAAAGAAATTGATTAATGGTAATCATTGCTGCTAGTTCTTATTTTCACGTGGCACTGTGGGAAGAACAAGTTTTGTATGCATGCATGCAAACCAGTGGAAATAGGATATGATTCTCCAGTTTACACAAGAGTGTATCTGGAATGCATAAGCATGCCCAGACCGCATGTGACTGACAGCAGCCATGCAAATCGCCTTTTCCTCGTCAGCCAGCAAATCAGTGCAATAGAGTAAATTTTGATACACAGAGAGCCTAATAGATGCCATTTATTTTAATTTGGAATATACTTAAAATCTAAATCCTTCTGTTCTTCTAAAGAATAGAAGTCATTTTGTAGCGTTTTATCAGTCACAGTTGTATAATATATGTAGATATACCATATTATGAAACACTCAAATTCTAGACACAGTGAAAGGGATTCCTTGCTACCTCCTTCTTACCCCTTATAGCCTGAATTCCATTAATACTTCCACGGTCAGGGGAGAACTGACAGATGCCTGGCAGTAGGACATGTGTTATCCATTTTGTATTTAGCCATTAATGAGCAATGACCTGTCCCTCCTACAGCACTGCATTTTTAAACCAGCCTTATTAGCCCACAGCATCTCAGCTACATCTGGCTCTCCAGTGATATTCATGATCTTTGTCTTGCACAAAGTGGTCTCTCCCTGTGTCACACGTAAATGCCAACAATATAGAGAACTATGAAAACTCTTATTCACATCCAAAACCAAGACTAACAGCTAGAATATGTGAGTATTTCCTCCTGATTGCAAATCTGTGGGGCTTAAACTGAGAAACATAATGGTAAATGAAAGCTGCACTTTGTGTTTTCTGAAAGAAAGCAAGTAGTGAATAGAACCATACCACAAGAAGAGAGGGGAAAAGGTCATTCTTTCTTCATTCCTGGCCCTCTGGCTTGTATCTGTCTCTTAGTCTTTTTTCTCATCCCATTATGATGGCTGCCCAGTTTATGACCCATTGGGCTTATTCTACAGATCTTGAACCCCTTAGTCTTAAAACTCAATTTTAGTTTTCTTGATGTTGGCCACCAGTGCTTGGTAAGAGCTCAGTCCATTCTTATCCTCCAGCTATTTCCAGCTCTAACCACTTTAGGGAGAGGTTCTGCACAACCTGCCATGGCACTGGGATCAGGCAGACCTCCAATCACTCCAGGATTGTATTGATGGCTTTGAGAAATGGAAACCACCATTTTTTGTTAATATAGTGAGATTTGGAGTGTGTCTGAAACATAATCCAGACACTAATATATTAATTTGCCTAAGTGAATAAATTAGTTTGCAGATAACCAAGACTCTTAATGTTCTACTTTGAAAATTCACAAGATAAATGCTAGAAGAATTTATCAATAGGCAAGAATTGCTGATGGGCATGCCTTTCTCCTACAGTGGAATTTTGTTTTCCCAGTTACATGGATACAATGGAAAAATTGATTGTAACTTCTCTAATTTTGCCTGATGGTATCCATAGGTGCTCCCAAAGCTGAATCTTCTGGAGATGAAGAACATCATGTCCTTTTCCAGGACATGGTCTGAAGACAATTGTTAAAACCCTAATTACTCATCTCCTTATTGCATTTATATTTTCCCTCCTTGTACCTAGACTTCTCTATCTCCTAGCCCTATGAAAGGTGGAGCATGTGGTGCAAACCTTGCATACAATTGTGCTTCTTTCAGTTTTTCTTTGTATTTCAAAGAATTTTTGCTTTTTGTAACTTTTTTTACAATTTAACGCCACATAACTAGGTGTGTAACTTTTTGTGATGCTTTTGTCTTTATTAGGGTCGTACCTATGGCAACTCTTTTGCCCCTTTAAATGCTTTTGTGTTCATATTCTACTTTGTCTGGAATTAAAATTTCCATCCCTGCTTTTCTTTTGTTTGTATTTATTTAATAAATATTTGTCTTTCTTTTATCTTTAACCTTTCTCTATCTTTACTGCCAATGGGTCCAGGGCACATAGTTTCACTGCACTGTTTACAAAGACAGTAAGATTTTACCATGTCAAACTACTCTGAGATTTTATTCTTAAAATTTGTTTCATGATCCTTAAGCCTCTAGGATTCTTTAGAATTTGGGGGCATTTTTAACCTTTGGGACAATTATCTCCCAAGATATAATGGCTTTTGTCAATGCCTCCACACTCCCCCCACCTCACCAAAATCCTGTACTTCCTGACCTGAAGTCTTGAAGTGAGTAAAAAAGGGAAGGATGGCACTGATGGCAATAATGGATGGAGAAAAGATCTCTGACCCATGAAAAGCAAGTCCCAGTTTTCTGGTCTTTACAGGATCCAGGGAATGAAGAAAGAATAACAGGTTTCTTTCTTTTAGTGTGTTTCTGTTCCTTACTCACTCTTTCTTAGAAAACAAAAAGTGCATGCTTTGCATTCCAATGAAGTTTCTCAATTTGTCTCCCTTATATTTTGCAATCAGGAGGAAA